ATCATGATCAACGGCAGCTAAACAGTGGCTCAGATGTCGAGGTATGATTTTACAAAGGTGAATCAGTTAAGAGACCATCGAAATGGAAACTGTACCACGTCATGCTCAATGGCTCTGAAGACATTAGCTGCGCACTCCAAGTTAGAAGAGTCTACATATCCAAACTTCCTCTCGGCCCGAATGAGTTTAAACAATGTTGATCGCATGTGTACTTTGATTTAAATTTACTTTGCTTCTGTTGTTGCTTTCGTGTTCTGACTTGATGTTCGGTTCGTTGACCTTTAATAGTCACGTGCAGCGTAATTGAATGCAAGGCTTTCAAAAGATGAACGTTTAGCTAGATGTTATTGCTCGGGGCTCAAAATCAAACCAAAAGAAATTTAAAAAATATATATTGACGTCAATATGACCATTTTAATAGTAATTTGTCACAAAGGGTTATTTTTTAAATCTTTGCTATACACGTGTACAATGTGCTCCCATTCATTTGGGAGTAAATATTTTGAGAATTATAACATCTTTACTTGATCTGCTGACAACAAGTACGTTACTAATGATTATTATTTAACAAATAGAAAACATGTACCGTGTTTCTATCGAGTTAGAGAAACACGAGGGGAAGTTGGGGAGAACGAGAAATGCCGTGGGAACACGAGCCGTACTCACGCGAACTCTAGCATACTTGTAGAGAGCATGGTAAAATGGCTCGTAACCCGTGATGGCAATGAATGCAAGTCAATGAATTGATTTGCATTATCCAATGATCCAGTTTTTGATAATTAGTAAATTAATAGCCACCTAGGTAAACAATGCTGGTAAAGGCATCACAGTCTGATGTCAAGGAATACAATTAATTCATTGTTACCAACGAAGTATACACAGTTCTTTAAAAATACCCGACCTGTCCGGCTAGGTGAGAATAGCCCTTTTCACGGTTAGTTTTTCTCATTTGCATTACAATGTAATCCAACGTGGATGCGAGGCAATTTCGGGCTAAAACTACAAAATAGCCCGAAATTGCCTCCCATACATGCTAGATCTTATTGTAATCCAAATGAGCAAAAGTAACCGTGAAAAGGGCTATTAAACTGTACGTCAACCCCAAGCCTCTGGGAGAGAAGTTTTCCGTATAAACGCCCCTTCATACCCCTGTTATCCTCTTGCCCGGTGTGCAGTATTGTCCCGGGTTGTTCACTTTCGGTATCAATTCATTTTAAGAGTTTATATTTGCGTTGTGATTAGCTGTCACATTTCAACGAGACTGGTAAGGGAATGAAAAGATGCTGATGAAGCGAGTTTATGTCGAAGACAAGTTTTCTCCGACGAATTTCAAGCATAATTGAAGTATAAATCCCTGATGGCAGAGTAGATAGGGTTTAACACAGAGTTTGTCTTTAAGTCAAGGGGAGTCGCTCAAATCTTTCAAATATTAAAGAAAAAAAACATTAACAGCCATGCATGGGTACATTACTCCTAATCTTTCACCTCTAGGTCCCCTATCCCCACTCCCATCACTTCCGGGTATACCAAAGATATCGGTGACGTCACCTATTGTTAACTAATGAAAACTTGCAGTTTCAATATTTCCACATTTAGTCCGACAGTTGCTTACTTAGCATAATACATTTCGTAGCTGGAAGTGAAGATGAAAGTCTCGGGTTTACTTCGAGCAAGCCGAAGACCATTTCGCTCTGTTTCCATCGCAATCTGTGAGAATGCTATGCTATTTCCACATTTAGTCCGACAGTTGCTTACTTAGCATAATACATTTCGTAGCTGGAAGTGAAGATGAAAGTCTCGGGTTTACTTCGAGCAAGCCGAAGACCATTTCGCTCTGTTTCCATCGCAATCTGTGAGAATGCTATCGGCAAATTCCCGGCTATCTTTAGCTGTGTTGCTAGCGCTGCTTTCTCACGCATAGGCTGTAGAGCTGCCACTTCATAACAACAAGCCGGTCGATGGTCTTAACGATGAAACTCGTTGCAGCTGGAATTGTACAGTTGTGGATTCTGAATTTTCGGAGGAAATGAAGACCACCATCGCCAAGAAAAAAATGATTGGCCTTGTTGTCAAGTACGAGAAAAGAGTGACCGAAAAATGCGTAAACCAAACATCTCGCAACTCGAGCGGAAACATTACTGAACACTGGCTATGTGGTTGCCAATAAGTAGACAACTTTCAGTTTTCACGAAGTCATTGGAAAACGTCGCAAATTTGATATTTTGTACAGATTCAAATGGGGACCGCGAAGAAATCAGAGCCACGTGCACCTTAAGATCTCTGAACATGACAGCTACAGATCCGACTTATTACAGCGGTTCGTTTCCCATATTCTCTCGAAGTCATCTTGATGATCTTGGAGTCAAATTTGATAGCATCGACTGCAACACACAGACGACAGACAATTTAGAACCTCGTACCAACATAACCAAATCAATTGGAAACAAGAGCACTAATTCCAAAAGCCCATTCGAACGCGGTGGATGGCCATCAGATGTTTTGCTTTTCTTCTGTTTTGTATTTTTGGCATCAGTTTTCATACATTGTTCCCCTGCCTTTTTTTATCTTTTCTCGCCGACAGAGGTCACAGGGGATGGAGTTCGTCAGATTATTCTTGAAGGAGCCAGCCCAGTAAGTGTTTGAAGCCTGATGGGGAACTATTTTTTCCCTGAAGATGACGGCACAATTTGGCACAAGGCGAGAAAATTTTGTGTACGAGTTGTAATTATGCCTCTTCCTTTCGTAGGTCCTGCAATTTTTGCTGATTTTATGGTGTTGGGCTTCCTTAGATTGTATTTATTCCAGCGATTTGTGATGATATGTTTTGTTTGTTATTTCATTCAGGCTTTTTACATATCTTTTTTTACGGCAAGGTCGGTCCAAGCGAAGTCTTGCATAGTTTGCAAGTTGATTAATTCTAAGACCTTTAGCTGCCAAGATGAAATTCCTCAACTATTAAATTGTAGGTCATCTACGCGTCCAGCCATTTATTCTAGTTCAATCTTGGAGGCTTTTTATTCAATATATCTTAAGCTATTGTAAGATGTCTCTAGCTGTGCTTCCGACGTGCAAAGTTTCTTTTGTGAACATTTTCTGTG